CCCCCCCCCCCCCCCCCCCCCCCCCCCCCCCCCCCCCCCCCCCCCCCCCCCCCCCCCCCCCCCCCCCCCCCCCCCCCCCCCCCCCCCCCCCCCCGCCACTGCTGCTGAGCCTCCTCTCCTTCCTTGCTCTCCTCCCAGCCGGCCTCGCCGCTCCCCCCTCTCCCCGCGCTCATCCAGAATGATTATTTCAAGGAAGACCTGCCTTGGCAGCCCGACCAGAAATCTGGTCCGGGGGAGTGAGCGGCATTGCTGGCTGAAGGACAGGTCATGGCACGGCGCCAGGGTACTGCTACCATTACGCCTGCCAAGAGCTCGCAGATGAAGAGCAAGGCTCATTGAAGACAAGATGGATTACTTTTCTTGCTGCAGCTGATTTATCTAGCTGCGATAACAAACACCCCACAGATATAACATAAATCTGGTGGGCTAGATAGGGCTGCCTTAAGGCCAAAATCGTTGGTCTGGAGCTGTAATTAGCCTCAGGCTGTGGCCTCCAGGAGATGCTCGCTCCAGCCCTGCCCTGGGCACTTTCCCTGAGCACATCCCGCACCGGCCCCGGGCACGTAGCTGTGGCCGAGCATTTGGTCATGGCAGAGCGTGTCGTTGCTCGCTGGTGCTCGGCCTCTTCCGCAAGCAGGGAGAAGGTGGCCAAGACCGTGTTGCCGGAGCCCCGGCGCACCGGCGGGAAGGATTGTCTGGATTGGGGCTGAGCAAAGCCTCTGGGTCTGTACCCCACTGAATTTGGGTCAGAGGGTCCTGTTTTATCACTGTGGTCTGTCACTGCATGGGACAAAGTAACTGTCCCCAGCATCGCGCTGCACTTGGTCTGCGGGAGGCTGGCGAAAGCCCCCCTGAGGTCGGTCCTCAGTGGGAAGGGAGGTCTGCTTCCCGGATTTCGGTTCCCCTAGCAATTAATTCCTGGTGATTTCTGCTTGTGAGATCTGAAGGAGTTGTTTCCTGGGGGATTTTGCATGCATGAGTGGATGGGAGTGTGGGAGAACTCAGGCCCAGGGAGCCGAGTGCCTGGTGAGAGAAGCGCGCTCCCCCCAAATGAAATGGGGGGAGAGGAGAAGGAAGAGGGGCTGGGGCAGGGACTGCCTCTCCTTTGGACTCTCTGTGAGGAGCCTGGTCTCAAGTGTCATTTGAAGGAAGGTCCTTCCTACCCAGCTGTCCCTGGCTGTGCCGTGCCCACCATCTGTGCCTCTTCCCCGTAGCCCAGGTCCTCCCCCATTCTAGCGCTCATCAAACTCGTTTCCTCCCGTGCGAAGTAGCCCAGACCAGCTGCACATCTCTAACCCTTCCTGTGCTCTCTCCTTTCCAGGGCCTGTACATATTCCTGGTCTATGCAATCTATAACAGCGAGGTAAGAGATGCCTGAGGCTCAGTCACTCGTCACAGCGACTGTTTATTAGCAGTTGAGGGGGTAGCTGCGACAGACAGCGTAGCCCCGACTGTGCTCGTGGAACAGCAGTTGCTTCTTCTCCATGTCTCGTTGGAGGATGTCTTGCTCTGCTAGAGCTGCTGTGGCCCCCTCTAACGTCCTTCCTCTGCTCCAGGTGAGAAATGCCATCCAGAGGATGAAGGACAAGAAGAAAGCACTCTCGTTCACAGTAAGTTGCAAGGAAGCCCTGCTGCCCCCTTCGTTCACCATGCGCCCGCCAGAGGAGGGCCCCAGATGTACGTGTGGACTCCTTTGAGGAGATGATGCCCGAAAGAAGTCTTATTTTTCATGTCTTATGTAGGGAGCATGGCAGAGGCTGTCTCCCTTCTTTGCAGTCCTGTTGGGCTGTGCAGACCCAAAGGTGATCCGCCCTGATTAGGCAGCAGCCTGCTGTATCACGGTGGGATGGGAGTTGAAGTCCCAGGGGCTACTGCGCAGATGAAATCGATCTTTAAAGTTGGACCTGCATCTAGCAAAGACTCATTTTGCAGTTTTCACTGTCCTGGATCTCTTCCCTGTCATTACAGAACTGCTCTCATCCCGTCAACTACTTATCCAGTCCAAGAAACACGACCTCCTGGGAGACAGGGAAACCGAGTCCTTCTGTGGCTGGGAGTGCCTTGTCGAGCCCTGCGCAGAAAGACCCTCCAGTGAGGAACATCACCAACAAAGGTAAAGAGGGTTGTTGTTGCTGTTGGCCCAGGCTGTGTGATGGGCCCACAGTAAAATGTTATTCCCAAGGCTTGAATTTTAGTGCACGTTCACTTGGCACGGCGTTAACTCATTTGCACGCTGTGCCTGTGCGCGTGCTTGAGGTGTGGTGCTGCCAGTGCAGCACGGGATGAAGGATTCCAGGGAAGGCAGGGATCCCCTGCCTGCGGATCTCAGAGGGATCAGGTTCATGCCTGCAGCCTGGCTGGGCATGGGTGGGAGGTCTCATCACCAGGTTATGCAGCATTGCATTTGCTTGAGGCAAAATCCATGTTTGTGTCTTAAAATGAATTTTCTGGAGAAGGGGAGGCAAAGGTGGCAGCAGGAAATAGGGTTTTTAGCTTCGGGGACAACAGGTGTTGCATGCTCCTACCAGTTTGTGGGTGCAGTTATGCAGGTAACCTGTTTGGTGGCTTTGCTTCAGTGGGAGATACTTAGGGGACACAAAGCACCAAGTTCTTGGTGAAGCATGGATATTTCTACTCTCTGGTCTCCAAACTCATTGTGCTCTTCACCCCCTAGGAAATTTTGGAGCCAAAATTCCCATGGGGATTTCATCAATTATGTCGCCCGAGAGACCGGTATGTAATGTCTCCTGTTGCTCTTCCACCTTCATCCACACGCAGAGCACAGCAGTTATGTAGGACTGGAGTCTAACGGCTCCAGCGAGGGCCTGGGACTGAGGACACCCGGTAGTGTTACCAGCTCTGGTGCAAATTCAGTATTTCGTGTCGAGCAGAAGCTGCCTGCCTCGTTCGCCCTGTGCACAGACAGAGGGTAGTGCTGGTCCTCTCCGTCCCAGGGTGTTACAGAAGTTTCAGGGTGTTGGTGAGGGACCAGGCAGCGTGCTAGCACAGCATGCCTGCTCTCCTCCCGAGTGCCAGTGCGGACACGTGGCCTGTCTGTCAAAACCAAGAAGGTTTTGATACACATCCTGAAGACTCTGGTTTATTAAAATACGTACTTGTTATTAGCAGCGTATTGATTTGAGGCATTTAAATCATTTGAGGTGCATGCTGTCGTGCCCGGCAGGGGCATACATGAACAGAAGGAGCCAGTGAATTCGAGCCAGTAAAACACCAAGCTGAGGTTGGTACGGATCCAGGCAGGAGACTTCCCCCAGGGACAGCACGTTAAAATCTGTCAGCAGGGGCTTGCTGTCCCTGCGGTGGTCGAGCTGCATCCACCCAGGGAGGGCAGGCTGGGTCGTGCTGCCTCCAGAAGTGTGACGCAGAGCTCAGCGAGGTATGGCCTAAAGCAGGGAACAGTTTAAATTTGACTACTCTGGTACCACTTCCATCTCCCACTATTGAAATGATCATCAGTCCTTGTGCACTTGATGTACAAGTGCTGTAATTTCCTCAGAATAAAATCCAACACTACTTTTATATGAGTCTCTCACTGAAGGATCTCTTGGATCTCTCTCTTCCTCTCTAATATTTATCCTTTGAAAACCTGTGTCACGTAGACAGCTCTTATTTATCCAATAGATAATACTTCTATAGCTGGCATATCGTTTTGAAGCCACTCAATAAACCCCATATTTTCATCTCTCATGATTTATATTGTGGTTAATGCCGTTCCTTCCCTTGTGCTGAACGCCGACCGGGATTCATTCGCAGGCGATGCTTTTCTCAGCCAGCCAGGTGCTGGCTGTGTAACCCAGGACCAGGGCTAAGCCCCTGGCACCAGGCAGGAGACGTGGGCCACGGGGATTAGCGCGGGGGCCCGAGTTTCCGAAGGCAGGGAGCATCAGCAGGCAGCAGATCTCCGAAATGCCAAGGCCATGGCATTTCCTAGCAGGCGAAGACAGAAAGCGCCTTCCTCCGTGTGAGGGTCACGGAGGATTTTGCTGTATCTTTGCTGCTTAAACGTTGCATTTTCAATGTACTTGTCTCCTGGCTGACTAACATGGATGCAACAGCCTTCCAAAGGCGAGGTGACCGCCGGTGCCTGCCTGGGGAGAGGGGCACGGC